AGTTGGCTGCAATGCGAACATGATCGTGGTGGTGATGGTGGTGGTGGTGGTGGTCGTGGTGGTGGTGGTGGGGTTGAGGAAATGTGCGGCATCAGGCGCACACGTGGACGAAAACAATGGAAGCATGCATATAATCACCATCAACAACGGAAGCATGCACGTAATCACCATCAACAACCGAGGCATACACATAATCACCATCAACAACGGAAGCATGCATGTAATCACCATCAACAACGGAAGCATGTATATAATCACCATCAACAACGGAAGCATGTACATAATCACCATCAACAACGGAAGCATGTACATAATCACCATCAACAACGGAAGCATGCACATAATCACCATCAACAACGTCAACCATACACATAATCACCATCAACAACCGAGGCATACACATAATCACCATCAACAACCGAGGCATACACATAATCACCATCAACAACGTCAACCATAACGTCAACCATAACACAATCACACACTCACCGCCGTCCTTAAGGCCGTGTTCAGTCTGCAGAATGCGGCACAGCCCGTCAACCAGCTGCCCAAGATACTTCATGCGCTGTGCACACACACACACACGTGTGCGTGTGCGTGAACGATGTGAGGGATTGCGTGAACATGACGCGCAGGGCGGCAGTGAGCATGCCCATGTGTATGCTTGTGTGTGTGTATGCTTGTGTGCATGTGTGTGTGTGTGTGTGTGTGTGTGTGTGTGTGTGTGTGTGTGTGCGTGCGTGTGTGTGTGTATGTGTGTGTATGTGTATGTGTGTGCGCAACATACGTCATCGGCTGTTGCGAAGATGGTTCGACGGATGGAGGCGAGCTGGACCAGACAGTTGAGTGCATGGCCTGACAAGCAAAGATGGTTGATCATAAGGAGGATGGGACGAGAAGGGTGTGACGTGAGGACACAGGTGATGTTTAAACACAGCTTGTTCCTCCCAACACACGCACGTACAAACACACAAACACATAAGCACACGCACACGCACACGCACACGCACACGCACACGCACACGCACACGCACACGCACACGCACACGCACACGCACACGCACACGCACACGCACACACGTGCATCCAGCCGCATCTGCGATTGCAACTCACTTGAGAGCGGGGGTTCGAGGTTGAGGTACAACTCAAAGAAGAGTGGCAGCATGTTGTTCGTCGTCAGCGTCTCCTTCCACGCTGTGATCGGCCACATATGGTGTGTGTGTGTTTATGTGTGTGTGAGTGCGTTTGTGTTTGTGTTGTTGATTAGAACAGGAGAAGCACACTGCAATAGCTATTCAAAACGCACACACACACATACACACATCAACACATCAACACACATCAACACACAACTACACACAACTACACACATCTACACCACCACCGCCACCCCTGCTGTCCCCCCCCCGCGCTGGCGTGTACGTACTTGATGGGACCTGGACGGTCTTGAGGTCATCTGTTGTCTCGTCGACACACGAGCCGATAAAGTCGTAGCTCAGGCACCCGCGGCACAGCTGCAGCACCCACCCAAGCAGCTGTACAACGCAATCCATGGTGGTGGTGATGATGAAGGGGTGGGAGTGGTGGTGTGAGACGGAAGCGCGTGCGGCCACGTAAACAACATGTTAAGTTCAACAAGAGAGAGAAGGAGAATGTGTGTGTGTGTGTGTGTGTGTGTGTGTGTGTGTGTGTGTGTGTGTGTGTGTGTGTGTGTGTGTCAAAACGCATGCGTGTCGCGAGCCTTCATCAACATACCAGTGAAACCACCATCACATTTTCACCACCACCACCACCACCACCACATTATCGCTGCCGCCATACCATGGCTGGGTCGGCGGTATCGGCCGTCTTGCAAACGACCTTATCCAGCACCGTCAGCGCGAGCTGGAACACGTTCAGCAGATCCTCCTCCCGAAAGCTCGACGACACCTGGCACACATGATGGGAGTTGTGATTGGGATGGTGATGGTGGTGATGGTGACCACGAGTGGAGGTGTACGATGTATGCGACGCCTGTTCGAGTTCCCGAATCGTGCACGCGCACACAAACAAGCAAACACACACACACACAGGCAAACACGCACGCACACACACAGGCACACAAACCTAGCATACACACATACATGCACACAATTGCATCTACCTTGCGGTGCTTGGCGAGGCCCTGGATGTTGTCTGGGCGGTTCATCTCGGCAACTTGAAAGTGCAGCAGCTGCAGCCCGCGTTCGAGCCGATATCCGCCGGCGTCCACAAACCGCATTGCGTCGTCCATGACCGTGCGGAACGGGTAGTTGTCCATGCCGTCCGTCTCAAACCAGCACAGCTTGGTGATGCGCCCGCACAGCTTGCACAGCTCCGTGGTCACATATGGCTCCTGCGACTCGGCCTCAAACAGCGCCTGCAGCGCCCACGTCTTGAGCTCGAGCTTCTGCTCCACCGTCACCTCGCTCAGCGGCTTGGACACGATCGACGTCAGCGTCTGCGCGGCAACATACTGCGCATACCCAAGGCTTGTGTTCTGGAAGATGTACCTGCGTTAGTGCGTGAGAGTGTGTGTGTCGCGTGTTACGTGTGTGTGTTTGTGAGTGGGTGTTTGTGTGTGTGTGTGTGTGTGTGTTTGTGTTTGTGAGTGTGTGTGAGTGTGTGTGTGTGTTTGTGTGTGTGTGTGTGTGAGTGTGTGTGTGTGTGATGGAAATCAAAGAAGAGCAGGAAGCTCAAACAAGGAGCATGGTGCAATCAACGAGAAGCGAGCAAGAATATCGTGTGGCAAGGGCAGCAAGTCCCAGCCAATTCTCGGCTCACATGCACGCACAGAGGTACACACACTCTCTCTTGCGCACACTCGTGACAGCAGAACAGAGCGAGGTGCCAGGTGAAAGCTCACTTGCTGTTCTGGAGAGCATCGGGCTGGGAGTCAAGGGTGAGGATGAACTGCTGCGCTTCCTGCCGCTGGTCACGGTCTTGCCCTGGGGGACAAGCAAGCCACGGGGCGGGAAGCAAGGGACGCGGACAACACAATGGTAGTATTGGAGATGAGAAGACGCAACGATGGCGACCATACACACGCATACAGTCAGTCACAACACACAACATCACGTTCATCCCCACGCTCACTCTCACACACGCACATACACATACACACATACACACATACACACACACACACATACACATACATACACACATGCATCCGCGCATCCACACGAACCGTCGTAGAGCTCGCGGCAGAGGAGCTCAAACTGTTGGATGTATCCGCTCGACATGGTGGCGGCCGTCTGCAACAAATGGCGCTTTCTGCTGAAGGCCAGGGGGGCTCAAAGCAGCAAAGAAGGAAGCCCTCGGGCAGTGCGACACCACAGCAAGCCGACACACACGCGCCACACGAAGCCTGTTTCTGAAGCGTGGGTACTGCCTCTGGCAGTGAGCACGGGCAGCAGGTTGAGTGGCGGTTCTGATTCGCCAAACAGCAGCAGCGAGAAGGTGTCAGCGATTGTGGAAGTTCAAATAATAAAATTGGGGAAATGGTGGGCATTGATTTGATGCACAACTAACACACAACTGCCAAGCAAGAAGATCAACCAAAGAGCAAGCAAGAAGCAGGAAGCAAAGCAGATACACACACGCTTTCCACAGACAGACGGACGGAGATGGCTGCGGGGTCTGGGTTTGTGCTGGTGTTGTTGTCATGGCTGGGATCGGCGATCCTGTTTGTCTTTGGCATCCTATGCCTCGGTGAGTGTGTGTGTGTGTGTGTGTGTGTGTGTGTGTGTGTGTGTGTGTGTGTGTGTGTGTTTATGTGTGTGTGTGTGTGTGTGTGTGTGTGTGTGTGTGTGTGTGTGTGTGCGTGTGCTGTGTGTGTGTGTGTGTGTGTGTGTGTGTGTGTGTGTGTGTGGTGGTGGTGGTGGTGGTGGGTATGTGTGTGTTTATGTGTGTGTGTGTGTGAAGTGGAGTGGTACGATGTGGCTATTCCTTCACGTTGACCATGGTACCAATTGCACCGACCAACGACGCGCACTTGGGTGGAATTCTTGTTGCAGCGGCTGGATTGTTCTACATGGCTGAGTTTGTGGAGGAAAACACGGTCCTAACGAAGAAGTCTCTGCAGAAGATCCTCATCGTACGTGAAGTGGTGTTTCTACGTCTCTGTGTGTGTGTGTTGGGAGGGGAGGCGTGTTTTCTTGCTTAGTTTGAGGATGTGTGTGTGTGTGTGTGTGTGTGTGTGTGTGTGTGTGTGTGTGTGTGTGTGTGTGTGTGTGTGTCTTTCTGCCTTTGTAAATCATGGATCCCTCGAATGACATGACACGCACACGTAAATACATACTCGCAAGTGCACAAACACAACTACACAAAACTACACACAACGACACACACTCGCACACATATACGCACACACACTCACACTCACATGCACACGCTGCAGGGCGTGGTTGTGGTGCAAGTGCTTGTTGGGGTGCTGTCAACGGTGTCGATCTGGCCCGTGACTCTCGTCGGTCTGGTCGCCCATGGGCTGTATGCGCAGCTCCTGGTCACCTTCCCCTACTTTGATCTCTCATCCCCCAAGTTTATCGGCAGTGCAGGTTGGTGTGTTTGTGTGTCTGTGTGTGCGTGTGTATCTGTGTCTGTGTGTGTGTCTGTGCGTGTCTGTCTGTCTGATGACGCATGTTGTTCTGGTCTCCTTTCTCCAACCTACTCTTCTCATCATCTCCACCCCTCCGCACTGTCCTGCCATCGACTGTGCAGTGCTGTTGGTCATCCACCACTTTGTTGTGTTCTCCCACTTTTCATACCGGTACTATCCATTTGATCAGGTCCGTCATGGCTGTGTGTGTGTGTGTGTGTGTGTGTGTATATGTGTCTGCACCTGTGTCTGCACCTGTGTCTGAGGCTGTGAGACCATCGAATGTGCACAGGCACCTACATGCACACACACACGCACATACATACATACTTCAGCGTGCACTCACCGTTCCCTCTCCAATCGCAGGTTGTGGCATACTTTA